GGGGAGAGATTAACAAAAGAATTTATATGCATATATGCATAACCCATGACACAGACAATGGTGTGGTGAAGGCCTGGGGGGAGGAGGTGGGTTCGGGGTAAAAGGGGTCAATGGGGAAAAAGGGGGACATCTATAATACTTTCAACAATGAAGATAAATTTTAAAAACAAAAATAAAAGATAAACTGGGGGGGGGGAACCCTGGTTTTTTGAACTAAAAAAAAATGCAGAAGGCATCCCTGCAGCTGGGATATAACCTGCACTTGGTCCTCTGGGAATAGTCCCGAGCTCATGCTGTGACAAGGGCGGCAGGCATCGTGGAGACATCCCGCAGGCCCTGCTCAGGAGCACTGCCTGCGCCCTGGGCGCGCTCAGCAGAGCCGTGCAGCTGAGACCGGGCCCCGCTTGGCCGGGGGAACCTGGTGCCCGGGCTCCCGGTCAGGCTGGGCCAGCGGCAGCCCTCGAGCTCAGGGCCAGCGGCTGGTGCCCAGCCTGCCTCCTCGGCTCCGGGGATGGCTGGACGGTTACAGAGCAAGGGAGGGCAGTCAGGAGGACAGGGCTGGGCAGGGGGTCCAGCATGGGGCGTCTTCTGGATGCCTGCATGATCTGGCTCAGGTGCTGTGAGCAAAGGTTTTCACAGTGGTAAAGAAACAGAAATGACTGAGTGGATTCTAACTGGGGACATTGGAAAACAATGCATCCAGGCCCCGTCCCGAGGGAAGGCAGGGAAATGAATGCCACAGGCAGGTTCTTTTATGGTAACTTTTATGGCACACCTAAATCATGCTGCGTTAGAAGTCTTAAAGTAATGTGTGCTTTGATTTCATAATTCTTGCTTCAGGACTCAGGGATGAAGAATATCCGCCTGTCAGTCCTTTTTATGAGAATTAGCCACGCAGTGAATTAGTCGAGGAAGAGACTGTAGAAATATCTCATTTATAGCAACTACACACTAGTCCAGGTCCGAAGACCTGGATTGGTTTGTTTGTTTTCTAGTCAGTGTCTGTTTCCATGAGGTTGGAAATATTGTTAAGGCGAAGGCAAGGAAAGCAAACTCTAGTTATGGGAAGAGACGCCCAGCTTTGGTAGATGACGTTCCTTCTCTTCAGACAGCAAGCATTCGTGTCTGTGCGTGTGGCACGTGGCTGCCAAATCGGTGGGGAAGGAAGAACACATTTGAAGTAACTGATTTTTATTTGTTGGAGATATTTGTGAAATTCCGCTTGGCCGAAGGCGTGCCTTCATCACGTCTTTATCATATATATACAATTTGGTTCATCCTTGGGTAAGTTACTGAATACTTGTGAGATTCACTTTGCTTACCCACAAAATAAAGACAATTAGACTACACCAAGAGTAAATGAAATAATGCTGATTTCATTTAATTACACACATTGCAAGCACTCAAATTCTACTTATTATGGTAGGATCAAAATTTACACATAATGACCGATGTATTCAAAAAAATTCTGTTTTCTAGAATTAAGCTCACTCTGTCCTTGAGTCTCCCAGTCCGCCTGGATCAGACAACTTATTATTTTTTCTGTTCAGATAGTTTCTGTCCGATCGGTAACTTTCTAGCTAAATTCAGATATCATCACAACCACTGTCCAGTTTCATCTTAGCTACACTTACGGACATGCTTTCTCTCTGTGCCTCCTTTTTGCCCTCTCGGTCACTCAGGGCTGACCTGTCTCCGTGGGAAAACTTATGTATAATTCTGGTGCCGGGAAAGTGATAGATGCTCTCGCTGGCCTGGGCTTGAGTCGTCTTGTTCTGCTTGGACTTAGCCAGCCTCTGTCGCTGTGGTCCCTGCAGTGGTGTTCCTGGGTGTCCCTTTCCCTGAACTTCTTGGCCCGGCGTGCACCCTGGGTGTGGCTGGCCCAGCGGCCGGGCGCATGTTAGCATTTGCCTTTGCCTCCAAGGGCGAAAGCTCTCACCTTCGCAGCTACACCCTCTTGACCTCAGGCATCTTCCGCTCGTCTGCCCCGGCTCCCCTCCTGGGTTATTTCCTCCCTTCCCCCAGTGGGGGTGGGGCAGGACCCTCGATGGCTCCGTCCGTGTCACTGTGGAGTAGAACCTACATAGTTGTCCTTATGCCACCTGCCCTTAGACATCGCTCCCGTAACGCCCCCGTGTAGAATGTGGGACCTTTCTAAGAGGCCCGCTGTCTTCCTAGGTCAGGGGGGATCTGGCATTCGCCAACTCACGCCTGAGCTGCCTGCATATTTCTCCTTCACTCTGCAGGCTTTTGTCTTCGCTTTACCCCTGAGTAGTGAGCCGGGAGCCTTGAGTCTGGCACTTTCAGCCTTGCCCTCTGCGCAGGCCTTCTGTTCCCAGAAAAGGCTTGTTGGGTCCCGTGTAGCAGGAGCTTTGCTCCACACCCCGTCCTTCCTATTCTCGGTTCATTGTGAAATTCTATCCTGTGAAACTCTATTCTGTCCACGCTTAGATCTTGCCATATAAAGCTTTGAGTTTCTTAGAAAACTCTTTCCCCCTTAACTTGCCTGATTATTGCAAATCAAAGAAAAGAGGAAAGGATGTGAGGGTGGGAGTGTTTTAGTCGCAAGCTGAGCAGAAAATAATTAGGTGCTTGCAAAATAAGAGTTGGAGGGTCAGAAACCAGCTCTTGGCTGAGCTTCCAGGACTAACTCAGAACAACACGGGGTCCTGCTCACCAAGGTGGCTCACCTCCGCGCTCTGGGAATCTGCCACGCCCAAGTGTGTTTCAGGACTGGGCCACCTTGGACAGGATCCAGACCATGAAAGCGGAGGCCCCGCACTGCTCCGTGGCATTCACAATCCTACAGGCCAGGCGCTGGTACAGAAAAGCCAGAACCTTCCCTGGCTGTGCTTGTCAGCTTTAAGCAGCAGCACAAGCATGGACTGCCTCCGTGTCTCCCAAATCTCACGCAGAGCAGCTCCACGGTGGAGACCAGGCCATGGGGGGGCCCAGGCTACATGGGGCTGGGGGTCCTTCGCTTTCCTGCCTCAGGAGGATTGGGTTGGAGTTGCGAGAGGAAATCCACACTGCTTGTCCTGGGCAGGAAAATTCAGAAGTCTACAAGCTGTACGGTGGGTGAATTTGTGGCGGAGATTGTGGGTGTAGGAAGGAGTGAGGGTGTAGAGAGCACCTGCCATTTGCTCTCGTTTTAGATTTCTTTTTCAACGAAAAGGTGGCATTTATTTAAATATTCATGAGAATAACTTTTTTGGACTACAGCAGGAGCGAATCTCCTTCAAATATGACCTGGACCCTGATGAATGATGTTTGCATTTATTTACCTCAAACAGGTGTTGATTAAGCAAAGCTTAATTTCATGAGTATTTATGGAGCTTGTACTCTATTTAAGGTACTTGGTTAGTAATGAGAGGATTTACATTTCTTCAATTATTCTTAGACTGATGATTCTGCAGCCAAATAAGAAACTTATGGGAAAGAAGCTATTTATGTATCAAAATTGCAGGGAGGAAAAAAAAAATACCCTAAGCAAATCGCATGCTTGTAAGAGCTAACATGAAGGGTTGACAGATTAGAAAGCAGGCAACACATGGATTCCAAGTCTCTGTTTTGTTCTTGGGTTGTGTGAATTCCACGGCAATGACTTAAAATCACCCCCACAGTGACCCACAGCAGAAAGAGAAAACCTCTCCACTCTCTAGCATCGACTTCATGAAACTGGAATTTTATTACCTTATTTGTGGCTCTCCTCCATCAGGGAAGAGCCAGCCAGGTTCTTTCGGGCTGTTCACATATGTCTCAATCACCTTGTTTCCTAGCACGTAGGAAAAGCATCCTTTTGTGCGTCCTGAAACCCTGGCCCTGTAATGCATTTACCCCACAGCAGAGTCTCTCTTTGAGGAGGAAAGACCCTACGTGGTTCATTGAATGAAATGGCTTGGCTGCCTTTTGCATCTCGGGTGCTGGGGCGCCGCTCTGATATTGACGGATCCGGCTCCTGAAATGCAGCCAGCATGCTTATTTGGATCTATTTGATCCAACGTATGTCAGCTCCTGTATGATTTTGTTATACTTAGTTTATTCATCACTGCAGTGTGGGAAGGTGAGCAGTTCAGCAAGAGAAGAACCAAGATGAAGCAGAACAGAATTGCAAGTCCATTTGTTCTAAAAACAATGGCCATGCCATTTTAGAGATACAATATAGATTTTTCAGTGGGCAATCCTGTCTCCCTTGGCTGAGGCCCGCTCTCTTTGTAAATGGATACCCTTCAGAGAGTCTGCTTTCCTACAACAAAGAGGTACTTTATCTTCTCCAAAAGGTAGTGTCCTCAAATTGAGAAATACAATTTCTTTTGGAATTTCTTCCTGCTCTTTTTGACTAGGGGAGCAGTGTGGGGATACGGGGAGCAGCGAGTGTGGGAGAGGGGCCTGGGCCAGCCAGCCGGCTGACAGGCCCACCGTGCAGGCTGCTGGGGTGAAAGGGCGTCTTATTCTTGTATCTGTTTAGAATAAGGAACTAGGCTGAATGTTCAACATTTTATTTTAAAAAAATGGAAAGAAGTGAAAAATATTCCAGTTTTATTGAGTATGTGTTGAAAATTCTTCTGCGTAATGGGTTCATGTCCCTGAGAGTGAGTGGGGTATTTGCTATCCAGGCCTCTGCCTTCCACATTGATCTGCTCCGCACTGAGTTAGTTGCTGCCTTCAGCAAGTGCTCTACTTTCTGTAGTTACATGTGTCCTCAGGAAGGGATCTGGACATTATTTATGCTAAACACTAAAACTAAAGGAATGAATAGTAATGCAGCCATCAGCCAGGAGGTAGAGGAAGGATGTGGGGCTTTCTAAGCACCTCATCCTTGCTTTATATGATATAGATGGATAGAGATCAGTGGTTTCCAAAGTTGGGGGTAGGGAGCATCCCAGGGGGTGCTCAGGATAATCCATACTAAAATATGCACACACAAACTCCTACTTTACTACTGGATAGTTTTATAATATACATAAAATGCTAGCACTTAGTACATGTATATAATATATAAATAAACTTACGTAGGGGGTTGTGATTGTCACTCATATGTGTCAACTGGACTGGGCTAAGGAATATCCAGAGAGCTGGTAAAACATTATTTCTTGGTGTGTCACTGAGAGTGTTTCCAAAAGAGATTAAAATTTGAATTGGCAGACTGAGTAAAGAAAATGGCTCTCACCAATGTGTGTGTGGGTGGCATCATCAATCCTCTGAGGACCTGAATTCAGCCAGGAAGCAGAGGAAGGGTGAATTTGCTCTCTGCTTGAGCTGAGACATCCATCTTCTCCTGCCCTTGAACATTGGTGCTCTGGGTTCTCAGGCCCTCAGATCCAGACTGGGACTGACATCATTGGGCCCCCAGCTCTCAGGCGTTTGGCTGTGGACTAGAACCACACAGCAGCTTTTCTGGGCCTCCAGCTTGCAGATGGTAGATCATGGGACTTCTCAGCCTCCACAGTGATGTGGAGTGTCCCCCAGCAAATGATACACTACTAAAAGCTGATAGCTCAATGGATGTTCCTTTCTTTTCAGATTTAACCCATTGGAATACATTTTTATACATTTTTTGGGACATCCTATATGTACATGGACATGGACTATGTGTATTATATGTCTCTTTGTTCTGTTTCCCTAGAGAACCCTCAACACCTATAGGGGTCATGATCAACAATTGTTTTTTCCTGATCAAATCATGATATTCATAAGGCTGTTCTTGTTCAAATATTTGGTATAAATTTTTTTTCTTTTAATATATACATACTTTTAAATATATATCGATTTCAGAGAGAGGAAGGGAGGGGGAGAGAGATAGAAACATCAGTGAAGAGAGAGTTGTCACCGATCGGCTGCCTCCTGCAAGCTCCACCGTAGGGATTGAGCCTGCAACCTGGGCATGTGGCCTGACCGGGAATCTAACCGTGATTTCCTAGATCCTAGGTTGATGCTCAACCACTGAGCTACACCTGGCCGGGCAGTGTAGTACTTTCTTAATGAAATTCTTTGTCTTTATAATTTCTCATTTCGATGTCTCTGTCCTCACACATTATCATGGTCAAATGTGCTCTACTATGTTGGACGTGGTGTAGTCTGCAAGATGTTCTTAGTTGAGATTTGGGTTTTGGTCTCTGGAGATTTCCCTAATATTTATACATTTCAACTATCTTTGAACAGATGTTACTTATATTTCACCCAGTATTTTCAAGAAGTTTTAAAAATATATCATATATACCATAATTCCAGAAATGGCATATATTACATTTTAATCAGGGTAAATGCAATCTCATTACCCTTCTATTGTTTTAATATATGGCTGAATAAATTTCTTCTATTACTCTTATTTTTTTCTTAATTCTTAACTCTTTTGTCTGTTCATTCTTCCAGGGAAATTTAGTATTAATTTTTCCAAGTTCAAAATGAAATTGCCATTAAGAATTTCATATGTGTGGATTAATACTATGATTGCTATACACTTTCAGAAGATGTCTTCCAGCCATTTCCCCTGCTCCTAGCCAGAGAGCTGCTCTGTCTCACATAAATAAAAATTTCAAGACCAGTGTTTTCTCCAGGTCTGGCATATATATTTATAAGATAAGCCTATTCTGAACATTTAAAAATGTACAGAAAAGTTGAAAAAATTTTAGGATGAGCTCCCAGATACCCAGCATTATAAGGCAAGGGTTCCAGGAGGAAAAAGAAGCCTTTTTCAAAGTACTAGGAAATAAGTGATTTAGAAATTGTAGCCCCAAAGAATTTGCCGGACCTGGAGAGTACTATGCTAAGTGAAAGAAGCCAGTCAGAGAAAGACAAATACTATATGATTTCACTAATATGTGGAATCTAATGAACAAAATAGAACCAGAGGCATAGATACATGGAACAGACTGACAGATGTCAGAGGGGAGAGGGGTGGGGGGGGACTGGGTGAAGGAAGTTGAAGGGATTAGCTAAGGATCATATATGCATAGGCCATAGACACAGACAATAGTCTGTTTTAAATTAAAAAAAAAAAAAAATCGACCTGACTCTTCTTTGACAGAGGAGAAGAGCAGCAAATAAGGCGATGAGACCCTAAATTCAGAATAGAATCCAAATGGAAACGTATCCTCTTTCTGGGTCATTGTGGGGATGGCTTCAGACTGAGTTCAGACACCACTAACAGGACAGCAAATGGAGACTTGGAATCACAGTATTTTCATTTCCTGATCTTTCAACCTCATCATGTCTGCTGTCATATCTCTGCCCTGTTTTTGGGTATTTCCTCCCTCCTCTCTGCAATCTTGAGAAATAAATATTTCCTTACAACAAGTTTTCTTTTAGGCCATTGAATATTTGTTTTGATAGGAATAATTGAAGACACGGGAAACCCTTCATTACATTGCAGAGTGCCTTAAATAGAGTACACACTCCATAAATATTTGTTGAATTGAAGTATGTTTAATCAACATCTGTTTAAGGCAAATCAATGGAAAAATTATTCATTGGTGTCCAAGACACTGCTTTTGTTTATCTTTGAATAAGAGACTCAAGCTGTAGCCCAAAGAAGAAATTTGTTCAAGAATAATATTATCTTGTCTTACCTTATAGAAAAGAATCTCTCTGAAGAGAGATGATTATTGAAATAAATTCAGTATTCCCAAATATTAAATGCCAAATTATAACATGTACTTGGGTTTATGAAGTCATTGAGTTTGAGTTGAGTTTGAAGATCTGGACTATAGGGTTGAGGCTACATGATTCCAGGCATGTGCTGAAGCCAGCTCATACTGCATGAGAGTCAGTCATGGGCATCTCTTTCCAGATCTGTGTTCAATGATGTCACTCTGGTAGCTTGAAAATTGGTCATAGTGGGCATATATACACAATAGAAATAAGCAAATGCTATAAATCAGGACTTTTTCCTCTTGGAAAGTTGGATGTGAAAACTTTATCTGCTTATGACTGGTAATAGACAATACCAAAGTAGACAATGGGCTAAAAAGTAGATCAAAGACTTTGGAAACTCAGAAGCCAAAAATTAAATCTTTTCTCTGAGTTCCCTAGCTCTGTTATAAGCTCTGTGATCTTGGGCAAATTACCTAATTCC